ACCCGTCCCTACCCCCCTGTCCTCACACAACCTCGATTTTCAGTGACCTGACCCTCACACCCACATCTGCATAACACTGCCCACGGCCTGCGCTCGGATTGAGACCTTATTAAAGATACGTGGGTGAAACGGTAACCCCCACCCTCACCCCAACAGCTGCCATTGGCCGTGCCCTTAGCAACCCCCAACACAAACTGCACCCCCCCCTGTGGTGTCAAGGAAAACCAGCTAACTGTGAAGAGTTTATTAGTAAAAATAAAGTATAATTTTTCATTGTGTCCCACTGCGACCCGGTACCAAATTATTTATGGACCGGTACCGGACCACGAACCTGGGGTTGGGGATCCCTGGTCTAGACCACTGGTCCGAACCACTGGTCTTACAAAGAGCAGCATTGTCCTAAAAATGCGTTAAAATGTATTGAAAGTGACTACGGGGTATTCTGAGTCACGCTAATTGTGGTACTTGTCCTCAGTGTACACGCGGTTTATTTTTTTAGTAAATACTACTATTATTTAACATGTTAGAAATATCCCCTGCTTATATATGGTTATTCTTTGTAAGCTGCCCCAGTGCCTGATTAAGCTTGCGGGTTAATTAGAATAGCGACTTTTCTATCACATTAGACGATATTGCTTATTGATCCACATTGGTGGTTAAGGAGCCCCCCCCCTCCCCCCCCCCCTGTTTTTTTGTCAGGCTCCTTTAATTTGCACTGACCTTTAGAAATGAACCTCTAAAGCCAAAGGGGTCCCGAGCTCACAGGGTCGACGTATTCTTTACAAAATGGATGATTTGATTTTTTTTTTGGGGTGGGGTGGGGGGGGGTTTAGTCAGTTTTCAGAACATTATTATTATTGGACATTATTATTTTAGGCATAATTATTGGACATAATTATTTTAGGAGTAATTCAGTAATTCAGTAATTCAGTAATTCCTCATTTGAGTCACTTGCCCTTGAGGCGATTAATAAAGAAAATATGTGAAAAGGACAGGGTTTCACCATTACTTTCGCTTTTTACAGTTTAATCCTTATATTTAGGCCATTCAATGGAAATAAAACCATTTGCTTTTGTTGATTAATTTGTGATTGAAACTCACTTAGGACAACGTGAATATTTGTTTACGTTTTAAAGCTACGGTGGTGATAAAATAGCAAATCGGATGATCAGAACCATTAGATAAAGCTCATTCAGTAAAACAAAAATGGCGTTGATTACAACAATGAGAGATGAAAATAAAAAAATAAAAAAAAAAACCCCAAAATAAACTTGACATTAATTATGCCACACATCTGTGACAAATCCATGTTGTTGTTCAAAAAGCTTCATATTAAGCGGAACCGGTTTTAAGTTTCTGTTTCATGAGGTTAGCTTTCGGGCTAAAATTAGCTTTGAGTACACAGGATTGTTAGCACCGTGTCCTGACTTCAGACTCCTCATCAGAGAGGAACAGTTATATATATTTACATATCAGAGGTGGTTTTGGAATCAATGTGCAGATACTGCCCATGAAGGATGTTGTTTTTGTTTAAATAGAGAGGGAAATGGTCATTAAGCTTAGTTAGCAAGACAGTTAGCCCTTGCGCAGTGAGTTTCTCTTTTTCACACCTTCAACTGAACATTCAACGCAGCGTGTACTTCAGGTTAAACACGCAAAGTAAAAAATAAGGCGTTAGACAACAGAATATATATATATATAGCATTTTTTTCTGGACCTACATTGTAAATAATAAAATTGCTAACTCACATGCTAATTGCTAATGTGCTTTTTAGGCTTAGCCCAAATCTTTCTAAGTAATTCATTCTGTCATTATATATATTTATATTCTATTACATTTACTCTTGTTTTTTTCTACTTCCAAATTGTCACAAAAAGTTTTTAGGGTTTTTTTTTTCATGGCTGCTGAGGCCACAAATTTTCCTCTGTCCGTGTTATTGCGGCATCTGGACAGATATCTGTGAAGTTCAGGTGCAGCGGTCCTCCAACA